GCACTTGATCCCTTCATCCAGATCATCGATAAAGCCCCAGTGCTGAGCCCTGGGGAACACCGCTTGTGACCGGCCGCCAACTGGTTTTAATTCCATTCACCACAATTACTGTATTGATACTTGGCAATATATACATTCCTCCCTTTTTCATTTCCTTTTTATATATATAATTCCCCTGAAAGTTAAGCAAGAGCTTGAAGCAGTGATTTAGTTTTTTACTTCAAAACAGAATAAAAAGAATGATGCTAGAACTTATAAAATGCAGTAATCTAATATAAGACTTTTTAGAATTTTATTTTCAAAAGAGCCCTTCTTGCAGTTGAAATAATTATCTTGGTGCTTTTACTTAGCCTAAGTAATTTTAATAAAAACATGGCCGCTGGATCCTGTATTATTGATAAAAGCAAAAAAGCTGACCATATGAGCATGAATTCATTGAATTCATGTTACTGATTTTTATGTGAATCAGGATATTCAAAAACATGGCAAGTATGATGCCTATGATGGTACCATTTTAATGTAACTGTATTGCCTCTATTTATTTCTGCAGTTTGGAATAATTCTCATTTTATTAGTATTTTTAGGGATGCTGAGACCTTTCAAGGAGCCATATAATAGTGCAGAGCACTGTAACATAGAATAATAATTAGCATTATGTACTTTAAGTGGAATTTCAATCTTATTCCTGTAAGCTGTTAGTTGTTTAAAGAATGAATGTAATTTGTTTTCCTTCAAGGTACTGTGAAACATAAACATGCAGATAGTATAATACTTCCTTCTTTTGCAGAAATGCTAAAAGAGCTCATTTTCATATCCTGAGATCCCGTCATATCCCACAAAGCCGAGAGAGGTAACCTGAATCCAGAACACCTTGCTGTTGTAGTAAGCTGTTCTGGAAAAAGGAAGATAGCAGTGCATATACACCATAGAGGTGGTTGTCACAGCTTGCTGGTGACCGTATTCTGCTGCTGCAGACAGTGTCTTTCATGTGAGATATAAAGCTACTATTTTTTACAGCGTTTGGCCCTTACAACTCCTGTGCTGCTCTGAAAAGGTGTGAGAGTTCATCACAAAGGTTGGAATAATTTCAGTGCAAACCAAATTCCTTTTGTCTGTCTGTATTCCTCTAGGCTTTTTTTGAGGGGCTAGGAAGGAGGATCTAATATTTCTCTCCCCTGGTAACTGGGCATAAACAGCTGTTTTGTGCTACTTTGTCAGTGGTGTCTGTATTAATAATCTTGTTCCATTTTAGCATTCGTGCTGTAAGCAGGCAGGACTCAAGTTATGTCATTAAATCAGCATCTGGCCTCGGTTATCCTGACATATTGGGCCAAAAGATGTCTGCTTTTATCTTCATGTTCTTGCTATTGTATAGGGTAATTTATTTATTTATTTGCCCACAGAGAAGTCTTCCGCATATTGCCACTTGACCCTGTCCTCCTTCACAGGAAGGAGACCAAAGGAGCGCTGCCTGTTTTTTGGGGAGGTAGGGCGTATGGTAGAACATCTCCTGCCTAGTCCTCTTCTCAGAAGGCTCGGAGCATTTCTCAGCTGCTCAGCCTTAAGATGCATTGGCTGTCTTCGTCCTTTTTAACTCTTAGTGGGATCTGGAGAAGCAAAGGAACTTACAGCCCTGTTTTGACTCATCTCATGGAGGGAGCAAGACTTCAAGTAAATTTCCGTGAACTTCTGTTGACACAGGGTTAGAGAACAGAGGGAGGGGGAACAGCAAAGCTAGAAAGCTTAGTATTGAGGACAGGGGAGAAGGAGGTAATGCAGCAAAATTACAAGGGACTCATTCAAGGCAATGTTGAGAGCTGATGGAGATAGAATCATTGATAGGTGAGAACTAATTGCAGAGAATTAGGTGTTTGTGAGGGAGCAGCTGGATTTCTTGGAACAATCTACTAGTGGAATGGAGAATTAATTAATTGGAGACTTTCACAAAATTCATTGGGTGCCTCAGTAAGTAAGCAGAGAGAGCAGATGATTGTTTTTTTTGAGGACACTACATGAATAAGGATTTCCAAAGAATTAAATTATTTTGCAGTCTCTGTGTGTTTATTAATGGAATTTGTATTTTGGAAGCTAGATTTGGAGATTTCTTCTGGATTTGCTGGAGAGAGTAAGGCCAAGGGGAGGGAAGAGGTGGGAAAATGGAGAGATAGTAAATTAATTGGAGAAATTCAGAGAGTGGAAGAAAGCTCTGCAAATGAAAATGCGGTAAGCTTCAATGTACAACAAGAGATTGCCTTATACTGGAGAGTAACGGACACAGATGCAGTAACAACTAGATTGAGGTGAACCTGCAAGTTAAACACAGCCTCGTATATTTAATGTAATTTTTCTGCTTTAAAAAAAAAACTGTAAAAATTTGTTGTTTTTTTTTAAATACTTTGGCAGCAGAATTTATTAATAGTGTAGAGTAAATGATAGCTCTAGATATGTACAATGTCCTTTCCTTACCCCCAAAAAAACTATTTAAATTTGTGATGCTGACAAAGGCATGGTTATTTCAAAAGGACAGGCACCTACTGGCTTTGGCCTGTTGTGAACATGCATGTCCATGTATATATATGCATATGCATACATATACACAGCAAAATTAGAAAATTTGTATTTTCCTCAAGTTTTGAAGAAATGGTCTTGTGTATGTGTGCTATTTTAAATGGTAATAACAATAGCAAAAATCTATTGGAAAAGATCATTGAAGGACTCAGAGAACAACAGGGAAGTATACTGCAGTGATTAAATGCTAAATTTATTATTATTTCTAGGCCCTACAAAAATTCCTAAGAAACTTTTCTTTTTTTGTATGATAAGTATTAATCTAATCTTATTTCCTCTTTAGCAATTGCTGTAACTGTGAAACAACTGTTAAAAACAGGATATTCTGCATTTATTTACTAATATTCTGGGTTTTAAAAGTTGTTTTTATCATCCCCTTTTTTTATGCACTAGAAATGGGATGTGTTCAAATTTCCAAACCCTGCAGAAAAAAAGCAGAACTTTTAAATGATGCTGCTCACTAATTATTTTGATGCCTTGACAGTTTACCAGCCTGTAATTACTGACTTTACCCATTACTCTGAACTGAAATAGCTGTAGCGTGTTCACTATATTTACCAGGGATGAATCACCTGATGCCTGCCATACTTCTACAGCAAAGGAGAAACTTACACTAAAAATTCTGCAAAATGCAGTAGTAACATCTCAGGGGTTTGTTTTATTGTTTTCAGGGTGCTGGGTGCACTGCACTGGTGGTAGCTGTGGTGGCAAGGAAGTTAGAACTTACCAAAGCTGAAAAACATGTGCATAATTTCATGATGGACACCCAGCTAACTAAAAGAGTAAGTCACACTTTATATTCACAACTGAAAAGGAAATGTGTGTTAATTTATTTCTGCATTTGTTTTAAATAGTATCCTGCTCGGTTCTCCTACTGAACTTTTTCATGGGTGTGATTTTGCACAGAGAAGGAATCTAATCCCTTGAGCTTTTTTCTGAATTGAGGGCAACTGTGAGTTCTCAGCAGATTTTGAGGATTTGAATATTATTCTGTAGATGATCCTTGCAGCTGGAAGGTAGTTAGTATTACCAACAGTTAAACACTGTGAAACTGAAGACTATTATATTAAAATTAAAAAAACTTTCATGTAGCATATGAGAAGAATATATAAATTTTTTGTACCTAAAATAGGTGAAATGACTGATATATACAAGAATTTCAAGCTATGAAGGACAATCTTAAGAAAAAGACGTATTTATAATTTGTGAGACAGTCTTTCCAATTGCTTCGTGTACTCAACACAGGATTCACTTAGCAACACACAGTACTGAAATGCCTTGTTAGGTGTTTGTAGACAATAATATTTTTAGAAGAGATTATTTAAAAAAACCCTCTAGAAGTCACTAGAATTCATAAAAATATTTTAAGATTTTCCTCATGCAATATAATTTAAATTGCAATAACATCACAGAAAATTAAAGAATGTAGCAAACAAGGCAATAGAAATCCTTTACTGAAATAAAACAGGTCAGCGTTGAGGGAACAATAAAATGAATAGGAGCTACACCGTCCTCTCAGCCTGTTTGATCTTTGTTATTGAGAAGAGCCAATATGGAGAGGAAGGTCCTCCTCATACTTACGACAGGAACTCAGCAGAGCTTGTCCTTGCTGTTGGGTGGAGAGGGATGTCAGTGCCTGCGCTGGAAGCCACAGCTCTGCTCCAGGTGGGAAGGAGGTTGGCAGCCTCAGCCCAGGTCCATGCAGTAGTGCAGTGCTGTGCTGCCACAGGTCCTCTGCTGTGGAGAGCTGTGTCACTTCTCTACACGCTGTCTTTCCAGGACATGTCATCACACTGCTGTGGTGGTGCTGGCTCCCTCATGTCTATGCTGGTCACCACTAACAGCCTGTATCTCCCCTAAGCAGTCATGGTGGGGAAGGACTAAGGATGAGTGGGAAGGCAGTTCCTATATAGGTATAAAGGGTGTCTGCCTTGAAGTGTCTATCTGAGCTTCATTTACACACCTCTTATAGTCAGTGAAGGTCGTGTTGATACCAGACCACAGGCAACAATTTGTCTCTTCCTAACACAGGCACTTTTCTAGTGTCATCTGACAGCTGAGCTCAAAATGTCTTTCCAGAGGGAAAAAGGTTTTGTAAAGATTGGCCAGATTTTGAGTGTGGTGTCCATTTGTGCCTTTTAAAGTTTATTTTATTCAGCTACCCTTCATATAAATCTAATATAATTCTTCATATAAATCAGTCTAATACTGTATCCAAGTGGGACTTTGGTAGCTTCAAACTCATGAAACTCAAAGCACATGAAGAGCAAACCAAGCAAACAAATAGGAGATGCACATCAGGTCACAAATCAGTTACATAGATACTGAGGAGGTTTCCTCACAACCTGAAGATAGCTATGCCTTATGGAAATGCAAGGACTAGGTAGAGATTGTGAGGAGGTCTTTAAAATATGATTGTGCTTCCACTGAAGTCAGAACCAAGGTTCTACAACAGTTCTACAGGTACAAGGTAGGGACCTCTTGC